CTTTCTAACACTATAGTTTCTAGGGTTATGCAGTATGTTTTATGGGTAGGTGATATTTTTTATTTTAACTAAAAAGGTTTAAATTCTTGAATTAAGAAAGTGGTCAATTTAGGTCAGAGATCAGTTTTTGTTGGATGTATATATTTTAGCTTTTAGCCATTAAGGATTTTATATATACAGTATGTGACAACTACAATATTTTGAAATTAGTAAAGGCTGATCATTTTTATTCTAATACAAAATGTTAGAAGCGGTGAAATTAATTAGTGAGATAAATTAGATATGGTAAAAGTGAAATTAAATGAGGGATAAGAAAGAGCCAAGGAAAGCTATGAGAGTAAAAGAGAGGAGTTTCACTTGGGAAAGAGTGGATTAGAAAGCTTGGACTCATGTGGAATTCATTTAATGTGATGGTTGAAACTTCTCTTGAGGCTTTTATCAAAACACCATTTATTTTAAGAATCTCTTCAGACATTAATTAGGGTTTTCGTAAAAAAACACTCTAATTAGCTTTGTGTCGGATCTCGTTTTGTGGGTCTTGCATTAATTTCCTCTGGATTTATGTTGTTATTTTAATTATATTCACACAATGGATTCTTACTTAATCCCTCTCAAGATCAATAGTTCGAAAGTGATGCATGTATCTTCGATCTCCTCATTGTTAATGATTTATACTCGCCTTTTTATCTATACAAAACTAAAGAATTATGGTAGACATGTATATATTTGAGAAACTACAAAATATGTGAACCAACCATGATAGTCTAAACTTAACATTTTACCCATGAGTGATTGACAAATTAAATCGTCATATTGGTTAAACCTATACATATCAAATCTCATCTACTATATATATTATTTTTTTTTTTTTTTTTTTTTTTTTTTTTTTTTTTTTTTCATCTACTATATATTCGTATTGGCCATTGTAGACGTGTTAAATATACTTTGATTAATATATGTTTTAGTTACGTATTTACCCGTTTATTGGAAACCAAATGCAAGATATGTGAGTTGTGCTATGTATGATTGATAAACATACACAAGACTTTTTCGGAATTAATTAAAAAATACTCAATTCTAAAAACAAAAGAATTCTAAACATACTCAATTCGCAATCGTATCTCCTCCATAAGTGATCCCGACGGACACAAGTATGATGGAGCTCTTCAAATTTGGTTTGCATCAAGGAGTACATAAACTTGTTTCTTCTACGTCTTTTTAAAAGTTCAGATAGTTGTAGCATTTGATGGAAAAACAGTTTTTTTTTTTTTGAATTAATTTTACATTCAATTCAAAAGAAAAACAAAAAAATAATTCTTATAACATATATAATCACGTAAAAAATATTGAAGTATATTTTAAATAAAATAATATTGTTTTTCTAAAGAAAATGGTTAGTTTCTATTTTCTCTAACCAGAAATGGAAGTTTCTTTTGTTGGAAAGATGAATAACATCAGCCGAATATTTTGTGTTTTTACTCAAATTAAAAAGTCAGTTTATCAATTTAGATTAGCGTTGATGCTATTGTTTGTTGCCCATTGTTTCTCATGTATCGTAGTATACGTCGGATAATAAAAAGATAAGTGAACAGATATATTCACAATGATCTTATAGAGCATTTAACCACAAAGTAAAAATGCCGTTAAAAAACAACAATATTAAAATTGAAAAATATGTTCAACTCAGTAAAATTTCATATTTCTGATCTTGACAAATATCTTAATGCTTTTGGTACGTAGATAGACAGAAGTCATATGGAGGCTTGGTTGGAAAATCGAAGAAACAGTGCACAAATACTTGTTCTTCTTGGATTCAAAAAGGTTAGGTCTTTGAATACTGTGTAAAGAAACTACATCTACAACTTTTGGACGTTAATTAGGTTATTAGGTTGTTCAAAACGATGTTCAACGTCTGTCTTGTTGTGGAATTTTTATGGATTAATTATTAGTCCATCATCTCCCATAATATTTATCACACCTCTAAACTTCACATCCATATTATTAACTATGTCATTTAAGTCCTTTGTATGTTTAACAAAATTTAAATTTGTAGTTCGCTCTTACTTTTCACAATATTTATGAACCCTCACTTATACATATATATATTCGTGTATTTATGTGGAGACATTTAATCTTGTTTTTAAGCCAGTGGTAAAAGCAAGACCACTTTTTGACTACTATTGTGCAACAAAACCTATGTTTTACTAGAAATGTGTGAAACCACACTCATTCGTTAATGCTAAGTAAACATTAATTTCATTTTGTGGTGCCAAGAAAAAACCATTAGTCTGATATTATCTTTATATAAACAATTGAGGCGTTTACCATGGTTTTTGTCTTACTTTGGTTTTAGTTAAATAAGACAAAGTTTATCACCAAAGATGGAGTTTATGAATTTTTTTTAATATGGCTCTACGTAATCCGATGAAAACAAATGTTGCTTTTTACGCATCGAATTCGCTGACCTAAGATGCTTCGCAGAGATTCTGTCCCGATTTTTATATCTTCTTTAAATAGGGGAAGAAAATAATGATAATTATCCCAATTTCTTAATTCAGTCCCTTGTTTAATCAGTGTCTTCCCATGAAAACTCGGGCCTCCCCAACATTACTATTCTCATAATCACTTTACAAAAGTTTAAAATAGTGACTATGTATTAATTAATAGTATAAGGAGGAAGTGTGTGTGAAGAAGAGATTGGTTGAAGTTTTGATGTGAATGTCTTTCAAGGCAACAAACATTCACGTTGGAGGCCATTTCTAAAGGGAGTCTCGGTCCTAATTAGGGTTTCACGTCATTCTCACTTCTATAGTGTATTATCCTAACATTACCCACTCTCTCTCTCTCTTAATTTTTATTTCTTTTCTTTTCATTCTTATTTTTTAATTGCCTAACCAACTTTTTGTTTCGTTTTTCATTTTGTGTAAGAATAAAGTCAAATATAGGCCGCTATATTTTTTTCAAACATGTAATATATAATATATATATATATATATGGATAATATATTTTTAATTGTTTATAGGGTGTAGAAAAGGTGACAATTATTATTTTTATATTCAGATTATAGGTTTCAAATTTATACATATCTAAACATCTATTAAAATACGTATGTGAGGATTAATTAGATTCATACATCTAACAATATTATATAATATTAAATAATAACGTAGAAAAGAAACCCTTACAAGGCTCCTTTATTTAGGACAATCTGATATACTTAGAAGAAGAAAAATATGAAAACTTGTTTCATGATAACTCCAAAACTACGAAAATTATCGTTGATGCTTGTTCATGATCTCAATTGCATCTGGTTAAGAAGATTTCTAAATTAACTCATGCATAAGCTGGTTCAGAGGTGATCTCAGTCAAAGAAAATCACGATTTGTAACCAGCTGGTTTGAAGGTTGTTAATTGGTTGCAGTTTAGCTTGAACCAAGTTGTTAGAAAGTTGGAACCAAATTATGTTGTTACGTTCATAATGTATAATCATTTGTGTTTTTCGTGTTGTTAAAAAGTTTCTAATTACACAACCTAATAAATATCTTTCCTTGTAACCACCAATCTCACTCTCCTCGACTTTTGTAATTTTAAAAAGAGAGAAGATTAAGACATCGAGAGACTATAATAAAGAAAGATAAGAGAGGTTAGTAATGGTACGACTGTCGTGTATATGTGTTAAAGAAAGAAGAGAAGAGTCAAAGGACAACGTGGGGAAACTTCTCATACTGCATTCGGACGCCAACCTAGCACGCGCCTTTGCGGTGCTCACTTCTACATCTTCTTTTTCTCCTAACTTACTATTTTGCCCTCACATTCTCATAGTCAAAAACGTCATTACCAACTCTTTTTTAGACGTTAATGTGTACATATCCCATCTTAGAGTCCAAATTAAGGATCTATTATACACTGTTCTTTTGAACTATTTAAATTGCAAAAGATTCAAACAAGACTTGATTTAAAACGACACTTCTTTTATAAAAAATTTCTAAAATGATTCTTACTTATTTTATAACGAAAAGAATACTTATAACTTTGTGGCGAGAAGAACAAGAAAAACTAAGAATAGGTGTTTTCATATTTAAGTTAAATCTATATATACATTTTTGGATCACAATTAGCAAATAAATCATAAAGTTGAGAAGTATTTACAATGGCATGCCATTAGCATTAATTATTTAGATTTGTTTTATTTAAGTAAAGATTTTTAAATGAAATTCATTTCTCATATATTTAGCAAAAGTCTCTACAAAATCTTTCCTTATCTATTTAAGTAAAGATTTTGAAATCAAATATGTTCTCAACAATTTACCAAAAATCTTTACACAATCTTTTTAAAAATCTTGACTTAGTTAACTTCTGATTTTTATCTCCAAAAAAACAAAAATTAATAGTAACGAGTGATGTAAAAATCGGGAATGTTGATATTAAAATTTCTTCTACTTCTTTTTTTTCATATAATAAAAATTATTTTTTAGGGATACTTTCTCAAAACCTCTAAATAAAACAAAAGGTTTCAAAAGATAGCTTCTCTTTTGGCGGGTCGACACGCAAACCCGCAACTCTCTACGGGCTTATCCGCATGAACCTGCGACCCGTAGTGGATAAAAATATATTATTCAAAAAAATAACAAATGATGTTTAATTTTACGGGACGGGGTTATATGGTGCAACGGGTTTAGATCGATATTAATATTAAACAATATACTATGGATGAAATCTTAGAATTAAAAATCAAAATTTAATTATAAAATCAGAAACACTAAACAAAATAAACAATATTAACAAAACAAATACAATTTAAAATTTTGCTAAATAATTTTTTTGTTATAAAAAAATTGACCCGCGGGGTAAAATCTAGTAATAAAACATTTAAAGTTAAGACATTATAAGAAAAGCCATTTAAAGTTGGAATTAAATGAACACATGTGAACACCAACCTCGCTCTCTATAGAAAGCCTTCAAAAACCTATTATAAATACACACCTCTCAAACTCTCTCCCTTTAACTCTAAGTTTTTCTTTCTTCTTTCTCTGCTCTCAAAGTTCAAGAGAACTCTATCCTTATTAACTTGCAACGATAACTAAAACCGGTGTAATCGTGATATATAGTAGAAGATGGGCGGTCCGGGATCATCGCCATGTGCTTCGTGTAAGCTTCTTCGACGACGATGTGCAAAAGATTGCATCTTCGCACCTTATTTTCCTCCTGACGATCCTCACAAATTCGCCATTGTTCATAAGGTCTTTGGAGCAAGCAACGTTAGCAAAATGTTGCAGGTTCCATTTCCTTCTCATTTCCCCATAACTATATGCTATATATTGTTTTTTCTTCCATGATATTTTGGTCCGTTGAAATTCCTTGCATAAGCTTCTTTATTTTATCCAACTCTCTTCCAAAAAAAACATTCAATGTGTGTTTGATCAAGTATCATGTTTATAGTATACCTATACACATTAAAAATAAATATATTTCACTTTAACAACTCTTATTCACTTTGATGTTATTCTGAATTGGTTAATTAATTATATTTGATAAACTATATGGAAATATATGAATTAATAATCATAATTTGTGCTATAAATTAAAATATGTTATATAAAAAAAATGTTTACATGATTCGTTTAAATGGTCACAGGAGCTACCGGTTCATCAAAGAGCTGACGCAGTGAATAGTCTGGTTTTCGAAGCAAACGCACGAGTTAGAGATCCGGTATACGGATGCGTAGGAGCAATCTCCTACTTACAAAACCAAGTTTCGCAGCTTCAGATGCAACTAGCAGTGGCTCAAGCCGAGATTCTCTGCATTCAGATGCAAAATGAGCCAACATTACAGTCTCATCATCAAGTTCTTGAACTAGACCAAGAACAAAAAGCTCTCTTGTTACCCAACAACAACAACAACAACATCAATAACTGCAACAACAACAATAACAACTTGGGTTATGCCATGTCTTCTGGCCAGTTCAACTCTAACTTTGCATCTCCAAGTAGCATAATGCAAATGCAGATGCAAATGCAAATGCAAGACCCTCTTAAGCAAGAGTCTCTTTGGACTTAATGTAATAATAATAATATTTAATTTTCGACAAGTTTGCTACTTGGTTACGTTGAAAAAGAGAATATGGGGACAGATTTCGTGTAAGGAAAGTAGTATAAGTCAAAGCTTAAATGCATGCATGTGATGGTGATGAGATGTAGTTTAGAAGCTTTAGAACTAGAGATCTGTTTTTTTTTTTTCTTCTTTTTTTTTCTTTTCTCTTAATGTGGTTTCTCACTTCTTCCATTTTTCTTTTACCATCGTTTGAACAGTGAAAATTAGATCTAACTCCATTCCAATTTTATTTTTAATATTAATTAGTTTCCAAGAAATTGCTCTACCCATTACACACTTTTTCTTAAACAAACCGACACAAAACTTTGGCGCGTTCAAATTAAGAGAAATTTACATTGTCTTATGAATTAGTTTAAAATTAAATTACTTAGACCCAAAAAAAGATATTTCTTTTTATTAAACTTATTTAATTTAGTCTTACAAAACATGCAAAAGCAACTTTGCTTTTTCTGGAATCAATCATTTTACTATATACTAAAAATGTAGATGTTGTTTCTACTTGCGATAAACTGAAGTTGAAATCGAAGAAGAAAACTCAAGTTGCAATCTAAAAAACAAATCTACATGATTCAACCTTTACAATTTGACTCACAATAGATATATTCGACCGACCTGATTTGATTAATCATAAGCTACACGTTAGAACACAAAGTCGCCTCTACTGTTGCTTTTGTACTAATCCTTAAAAAATCATATAAATTTCATCAAAATTAAGTTAGAAAAAAGGAGGTGGTGCTGTTGAATTTGATTATGTTATCTATTGATAGTGTTCATGTGATCAGTAGACGAAAAAAATTCAAAATATTGCCTCTCGACATGGGAAAGAATCTAATGACTAAAAATAATCGATCATGTTCTTTCAAATTTCATTATATATTATATTTTAAAATACACTTAACTTGTTTTTGACGATCGTACCAAGCCAGAGAAGTTATAACTGTCATATTCATATCATATATATATGCTAGTATATAATTATTGGGATAATAATTCTCTATCTTTAACTTTACGCGTAACAATTTTTTTAGTTAGGATTTAGGAATAATAACTCTTAAATTTTTTGGTGAAACTTTCTCTTTCAAAATTTTATAAGTAAATAAATTAGTAAGTTAGACGCATGTATACATCTAGTTAAAACACGTAGACGTCCATGTGATCCATGCACGTGTGTAAATATATTTTTTTGGCCATGTGTGAACGAATTTTCTTATTTACCAAACCAAGTTAATTAGAAAAAGCAGAAAGAGTCTTAAGAGAAATAATATGATTATAATGGCAGAAAAGATTTACAAATACATCCAAAATTGTAGCCGCTTGATTAATTTATCTACACGGTACACCTCAACGAAATTTTCCGTTGGTGGCTAACGAATTCAGGCTGTGAAGTTAAAAGAAAATAAACAAAATTATAGCTTCACATGAGCGATCTTCAAATTCTACACATGACAGAGTTAAGCATGTTAATTAAATAGCGTGTTTTGTTTTTTGGTAAACATGTTTAGAAAACTAAAAGACTTAAATAGCGTAAGTTTGTAATTATATTACAAAACCTAAAAACTTAAATGTAAAAAACCTTATGGGACAAAATGTGGTAAAGCACCTAAACAATAAACTTAAATTTTCAAATTAAAACAAAATCTCAGCCAGAATTATCTGACCAAGTGTTTTTTCAAAACAATAGACTGTAGACTCTTACATAGTAAAAACCAAATTCTAACTAATTCATCTTTAATTATCAAAAAAAAAAAAAAAAAAAAAACTAATTCATCTTCTCATGTGAACATGAATGGAAATAAAAATGGTCGGGACAATTAACTACTCAAGGAAGAGATACCACAACAAGATGGAAGAAGTATATCTGATGGTCCACTCCACTAATGCAGCAAAGAGCAAACCCAGTATACATATGGAGGCCCATTACTCTAGTATTGGGCCTTAAAATATTTTTGTCCGAGAAAGAATAAATAAACAGTTATACCTTTGGATTCGGTGGCTTTAATTGTTTTCAAATGTTTGGACAAGTGTTATACTCGCCTAAAACAGGATGACTCCAATTTTTTTGGGGTCAGAGACTCAGAGTGTCTTAACTCTTTTCTTCTTTAAACCAAGGTTTAAACTTGGATCAATGTTGCCACGTAGCCAAATCTCACCCCCACACAAAACAAAATTCTTCTGCCTTTATATCGAACGAAGAAAAATCGAATTTTGTAACCACTTTTGATTTTAAAAGTCACACGCCGTATACGGCACACCAAATGACCAAAAACATTTGACCACCTTTTCTTTAATGTCTTCTTAAAACACTTAAAAGCTTGTGTCCCACTACTCTCTTCTTCACCTCCTCCAAGTCACAGTGACCAAAATCACACACTATGGATCCAAATGAATCACCAATCCAATTTCGCCACATGGTGGCCATGCCTTATCCAGGTCGAGGCCACATCAACCCAATGATGAACCTCTGCAAACGCCTCGTCCATCGATACCCTAACCTTCACGTCACCTTCGTAGTCACAGAAGAATGGCTCGGGTTTATCGGATCCGACCCGAAACCCGACCGGATCCATTTCGCAACTCTCCCTAATCTCATCCCCTCCGAGCTCGTCCGTGCTAAGGACTTCATAGGCTTCATTGATGCGGTCTACACAAGATTAGAGGAACCCTTCGAGAAGCTTCTTGACGGCCTAACTTCGCCGCCTCCGAGTGCGATCATAGCCGACACTTACGTCATTTGGGCAGTACGTGTCGGCAGAAGAAGGAATATTCCGGTGGTTTCTCTCTGGACTATGTCAGCCACAATTCTCTCTTTCTTCCTTCACGCTGATCTACTCATAAGTCATGGCCATGCTCTGTTCGAACAATCAGGTAAAACATCAGTGAATAAGCAAAAAAGTTCCTTTACTAAAACTTAGTATTGATTCTTGTTGAATCTTGGTTTGTTTTAGAATCTAAAGAAGAAGAGGTTGTTGATTACGTACCCGGTTTACCTCCGACTAAACTCCGAGATTTGCCTCCTATATTCGACGGTTACAGCCATCGACTCTTCAAGAAAGCCAAGTTGTGTTTCGATGAGCTCCTGGGAGCTAAGTGTCTTGTCTTCACCACCGCCTATGAGCTTGAACACAAAGCTATTGATGCTTTTACCTCCAAGCTCGATATCCCGGTCTACGCTACCGGTCCTTTAATACCCTTTGAAGAACTTTCTGTCCGAAATGATAACAAGGAACCTGATTACATCCGGTGGCTTGACGAGCAACCGGAAAGCTCTGTACTTTACATATCTCAGGGGAGTTTTCTTTCGGTCTCAGAAGTTCAGATGGAGGAAATAATTGTAGGAGTGAGAGAGAGTGGAGTTAGGTTTCTATGGGTGGCTCGTGGGGGAGAGTTAAAGCTTAAGGAGGCTCTTGAAGGTAGCTCGGGTGTTGTGGTGAGCTGGTGTGATCAGCTGCGTGTATTGTGCCACGCAGCTGTAGGCGGGTTTTGGACACATTGCGGGTTTAACTCAACGTTGGAAGGGATATATTCGGGAGTACCAATGCTCGCGTTTCCGTTGTTTTGGGATCAGATTTTGAATGCTAAGATGATTGTTGAGGATTGGAGAGTCGGAATGAGGATAGAGAGGACGAAAAACACGGAGTTGTTGATAGGGAGAGAGGAGATTAAGGAAGTAGTGAAAAGGTTTATGGATAGAGAGAGTGAAGAAGGGAAAGAGATGAGAAGAAGGGCTTGTGACCTCAGTGAAATCAGTCGAGGAGCTGTTGCGAAAAGCGGTTCGTCTAATGTTAACATCGATGATTTTGTTAAGCATGTTACTAATACGAATTAAGGCTCAATGAGGTTTTGTTGATTCAATACAAATTAAGGCTCAATGACAAGTTCACTAAATCATATGTATCTTTTGAACTGCATATAAGAATGACTAGAAACAACCACCAAATTAAAGCTAACTCAATTTCTTACCATATGTCAAGATTTATATGAGTTCTAATGGTGGGAAAGCTCCCCCTCCTACTTAATTTTCAGATGCTTATGCATTATATGCTTCATCATTTTTCTTGCTTGTAATCTAAATGATGCTTTCTCTTTAATCAAACCCAAGACGTCACAAAATACCTAAAACACATCAAAATCACATGAAGACTCAAAAGATACAGGAAAAAAAAAGAAAAACAAAATTGAAGTAAGTATTTTTTAAAAAAAAATTAACGGGATTATATACCAAGGCTTTACTATTCAAGAAATGATCATACATCTTAATTTTACAACTAGATTGTCTCTGTCAAATTTTCAACTAGATTATTTATTATTCTGCTAATTATACAGAATGATTTGCCATGTGTTTGTTTTCATAAACAGTCTGTTTCTTGGGATTATGTTTTGTTTCTTTAAAAAGTACACCACTTGACTTTCTAAAACCGTTTAAAAACAACTTGAAAAAGCAGTAGACATATTCTCTGCAGCTTTCTCATTTTCTTAGTCCTCACTGCTTAGTGCTTACACACAAGCCGAGTCACAGTAACCAGAAGCACCCGTTGCACATCTTATGAATCCCATCAAACCTGAGCCACTCGGAGTTCGCCACGTGGTGGCCATGCCTTGGCCAGGAAGAGGTCACATCAACCCAATGTTGAACCTCTGCAAACGCCTCGTCCGGCGAGACCCAAACCTCATCGTCACATTCGTCGTCACCGAAGAATGGCTCGGGTTCATCGGGTCCGACCCGAAACCTAACCGGATCCACTTCGCAACTCTCCCCAACCTCATCCCTTCCGAGCTTGTCCGGGCCAACGACTTCATCGGCTTCGTCGACGCCGTCCTCACCAGATTAGAGCAGCCGTTCGAGCAGCTTCTTGACCGTCTAAACTCTCCGCTTCCCACCGTAATCATCGCCGACACTTACATCATTTGGGCAGTGCGGGTCGGAACAAAAAGGAATATTCCGGTGGCTTCTTTCTGGACTACGTCGGCCACGATTCTCTCCCTCTTCATTCATACCGATCTTCTCGCAAGTCACGGCCATTTTCCGATCGAACCATCAGGTATACTCAATTTCAGATAGCAAAGTTTCCATTTTTATTGATCAAAACCGTAAAGTTCAATCCTTTTCTTGAATCCGGGTTTGTTTCCAGAATCAAAACTAGACGAGATTGTTGATTACATCCCCGGTTTATCTCCGACAAGACTCCGTGATTTGCAGATCTTTCACGGCTATAGTCTCCAAGTCTTCAATATATTCAAAACCTCTTTCGGTGAGCTTTCCAAAGCTAAGTATCTTCTCTTCTCTTCTGCTTATGAGATTGAACCAAAAGCCATTGACTTTTTCACTTCCAAGTTTGACTTCCCGGTTTATTCCACCGGTCCGTTAATACCCTTTGAAGAACTATCCGTTGGAAATGAGAACAGAGAACTCGATTACATTCGGTGGCTTGATGAGCAACCGGAAAGCTCTGTTCTTTACATATCTCAGGGGAGTTTTCTTTCGGTCTCTGATGCTCAGATGGAGGAGATAGTGGTAGGAGTGAGAGAGAGTGGAGTCCGGTTTCTTTGGGTGGCTCGTGGGGGTGAGTTGAAGCTTAAGGAGGCTCTTGAAGGTAGTTTGGGTGTTGTTGTGAGCTGGTGTGATCAGCTTCGTGTGCTGTGTCACGCGGCTGTAGGCGGGTTTTGGACACATTGCGGGTTTAACTCGACTTTGGAAGGGATATATTCGGGTGTACCGATGCTTACATTTCCCCTTTTTCGGGATCAGTTTCTGAATGCTAAGATGATTGTCGAGGAGTGGAGAGTTGGAATGAGGATCGAGAGCAAGAAGCAGACAGAGTTGTTGATAGTGAGTAATGAGATCAAGGGATTGGTAAAAAAGTTTATGGATGGAGAGAGTGAAGAAGGGAAAGAGATGAGAAGAAGAACTTGTGATCTTAGTGAGATATGTCGAGGAGCGGTTGCGGAAACCGGTTCTTCTGATGCTAACATCGACGCTTTCCTTAAAGATATTACCAAGATCGTCTGAGTTCTATTGTTGTTAATGATCAAAGTCTATTAGTATTTGTATAAGTTTGTTAAAGATTCAAATTCTGTAGAGATTTGAGATTGTTTGTAAAACTCTTATTTATAAGTTCATTTGTTCTACTCTTTGGTAGAGCTTAATTTCGTTTGTGCCTAATTTTTGTTTGACTTTAGAAAATGAATCGTGAGGAGACAAATATAGAAAATAATGTATAAAATGAATTGATTTTTCTGTTAGAATAAGATATTACTATAGATTTTTATATATCTTGGATTCTCTGTTGAAATACTATTGTAAGTTGTAATCAATTATCTATGTGACATTATGTTTGTTATCCTATAGTACTATTATTTGGGAAGTACATCAATAAATTATAATATTGAGAAGTGTAAGAAATTATATTATATGCCATTACAAATCTCTAATTATAAACATAATTAATTCACGTCACTAACATTATCCACTTCTTAATCACACGGGTCAATGGGTCATCAAAGAGATTTTCAAAGATTACCTAAACAATATAATCAAATAATTTTGTAATTGATTAATTATGAAGATTTCGTAAACAATAATAATGAATATTCATTCGAATAAAGTAAGTATCGAATGTTTACCTACACAATAACGCATATATATTAACATTTTTGAAGTATATTTTAAGGAATCGAATTTGATCGGGTTTTTTTTCCTGATTTTGACATAGAAATCTTCAATCGGATATTTCCTTAAATTTTGGCAAAACCAAAAACGAAATTAATTCATAAAATCTAACAAATATATATTTTCTCAACTAATTACTACACCCAAAATCTATACTATTAATTGGGAAGCATTGCAAAATAAATAACCTCATTAAGGATAAAATATTACATTGAATGCCATTGGAAATTTTTCAATCTATGACTAACTAAAAGATTTCGTCAAGGGGTATAATGGACAATTTGACTATCACTAACACGCGGATCTTGGATCCTGTAGTCGGATCTCCATTCGGTAAAATACGCGGGTTTCGGGTCTACAAACGGTAAAACACGCGGATCCTGCATTATATTCATAGTGGGCTTTCAAGTAAATAGGCCCAATACGATGCCTGATATTTATGATCGAGATCTACCGAAATTAAAGTTAAAAATAAATTAGAATCAATACCTTCACATATATTTCCATAACAAGAAAATCTAAAAATTCGAATCAGAAAATATCATTTCTTCTATATTTCTATAACTACCCAATCTCATATATTACGTTGATTAAAAGAAAACTTATTGCTAGATTTTCAATTTCATTTATGAGTTTTTACCACAATTAATAAAATCCGTTTATATCCATATTTAGTTATGAGTTTTACCAAAAAAAGAAGGAAATCTATATATTCGATTTAAACAAAAATCAGTTCACCGATCTTTTTATAACAACCAAATCCCATATATGCAATATATTAGAAGATAACTAATTTCTTTATATTGGAAGATAGTTTTAATTCAAAATTTCACCGATCTTTCTATAACAACCAAATCCCATATATGCAAATCTAAGAAGAAACAAAAAATGACATTTACGTATTTAAACTTTAAAGATATTACCAAAACAAACGTATCCCATAAATTTCGTATACAAAATAAGGATAGATAGTAAAGGTAACAATAATTCGTTCAAAAATATTCAAATTTGAAGGTTGTTTTCAATCTGATTCGAATTCAGTTAACATATTTTCCAAATATAACAATAACTATATATTCATTACATCTGAAATCAAGTATATACCTTAAAACTTTATTTAAAAAATGGATTTGCAAATATATTCTTTTGATCTAATAGGTCTAAACCCTAGCCGACCTCTTTTTCCAATAAATATAGAATGTCTAATAACAATTTCAATACTCATTAAGCTTTCAAACGACCCCTAACCTTTTGCTACTCCTTTTTAAAAAATGGCTGCAAAAGACCAATTTTGCTACTTCGTTTCTCATTTCTAACAATGGATGAAATCTTGGTATCACCAATCTTGCTAACATCAAACCTTTCAAGACAAGCTATAGAATCCAAGTGAAATCGTTCATTCGTGTAAAGGTGATTAATGCATATCAAACAATGGCAAAAAAATTTGTACTTTGCATCTCTTATTTAGTACTTTCATATTAGCATATACTAGGGAAAAACAAAGTTTTCTATATGAAGCAACCAAAATTAGACTGGTAAATATGCAAATCTAATAAACATAGTGTCTAAATTATGATCTCACTAACCTCTAACATATAGATTTCTGAAAAGCTCCAATGACTGATAGCCTCCTCCATATCTTTATGTTACTCGCAATTTACGCTTGACCTGAATACATTCAAATTTGTTTGTAACATGTTTAAATTTTTGGTAATATCTATTGTTTTCTAATAATCGTATTAGTTTTTTTTTTCTTTGTTTATCCTCTTCTTCCATTAACATCACTATATTTGTAGTATATTGAAATATATATATATAGAAGCTAAATTAAGTAGAACTCTTTTCAGGTAACAGAATATACGGTTAAAAATTTATGCGTTAAAAAAAATAGTTCGGTAAACTGGAGTTTTAATGTTCATCTTGCTTCTGTAGCTAACGACAAAAACTACACGAAATCAAATTCGTGTTAGTTGATTTAATTCACTGAACAAAAATTTGGATATTCAATTGACAATAATTACCCATTGAAGATCTAGCTTCTTGACAATCCTTGGACAAAGATCTCTATTCAAACATAAAAATTCACAGATTGGGAATTGAACCAACATATTAAAAATCAGTAGAACTATAGATCTGATTCAATAATATCCTTACCTCTTTAAAGAATTCACGATTTGCAACACAGTATAAACGGAGACGGAATAGCTGTCGCAATTGATTCTTCGATCGAGCCATGTTCTTAGTTTTTTTTTTATGTTATTAGTTTTGTTCGGTGGGTTTTCCTTTTTTTTTTTAAAGATGAGACAACGATTGTTCCTTTTACAAAAACATTTCTCTGGATTTTATTAATAAGACAACATACATCAGCAAGAGTACATAATGGGTTTACAAAATTAAGCAGCCCATGAAAAGCCCAGTCGATGATACGCTAAGGAAGAAGAAGAGATATCTTCACTCAGACACGTGTTAGGCAGTAAGAAGCAACAAGGACAACAACGATTGTTCTGTAATAAAATAAAATCTGTCCAAATAAATAAATTAAAATTCATTAATATTAAATGGGTGAAGGATGCATTATTAAACACATAAATTCTCCCACTGTTCAAATTATATTTTATGCACCAAACTATATATTTAAGAAAACACATAAAATTATCTAAATCTAACGCTAATTTATTTTTAAAATTCTCAACTTTCAATTCTAAAACTAATCAAATAGAAAATACAACTTTTGCACCAAACTATTTTTAAAGCACAAAATATAATTCTACAATTATTATGCTAAGTTTATGGTATCTATACTATTTTATAATTCACTAACCCAACAAAATATATTAATACAAACTTTATGCAAAAATATTCATAAAACACTTCTCCCGCACGGACGTGCGGGTCAGGATCTAGTCTTTATTTATGGCATATTCTTTACGATTTTTATAGATAAAGAAATCAAATATGATGATTTATTGCTAATATTACAAATTTGAGCTAATTTCCTAAAACCAAATATGATGATTTTTTTTTTAGATGAATATGATTAAATTTCAATACAGCTTATACCAAATTTACATGTGTTTTCATTCTGTTTTTAGGTGAAGAGAGAATCTACCTAAGTTCTGATAATATAGACCCTTCAGACACAAGTTCTGCGAATGATGGCGCTTATTCCCCTGATTTTTTGAACAATGTTAGAGTTTCTGAATTGCCAAACCATTGTTTGCGTCTGAAAGATGGTTGTCTGGTCATGTTACTCAGAAACATAGATCCTAATAAAGTTTTATGCAATGGGACAAGATTACAGATCACTCAAATAGCAGATACAGTAATTGAAGCTAAAGTTATTACATGTAATAGAATTGGTAAGATTGTTCTGATTCCTAGAATGCTCATCACACCATCAGATACCAGATTGCCTTTCAAAATGAGGCGTAGGCAATTTCCTCTATCTCTACCTTTTGCTATGACCATAAACAAGAGTTAAGGACATACACTAGAGTCTGTTGGACTTTATTTGCCTAAGCATGTGTTTTCACATGGTCAACTATATGTGGCAATCTCTCGAGTGACGTCAAAATCACGTATGAAGATTCTTATATCCAATATTTTAACTGGTAAAAAAGTTTATGGATAGAGAGAGTGAAGAAGGGAAAGAGATGAGAAGAAGTGCTTGTGACCTCACTGAAATCAGTCGAGGAGCTGTTGCGAAAAGCGGTTCGTCTAATGTTAACATCGATGCTTTCGTTAGGCATGTTACTAATACGAATTAAGGCTCAATGAGGTTTTGTTATTTCAATATAACTTCAGGCTCAATGACATGTTCACTAAATCATATACAATATATATCTTTTGAACTGCATATTGTATAAGAATGACTAGAAACAACCACCAAATTAAAGCTAACTCAATTTCTTACCATATGTCAAAATTTATATGAATGGGAAAGCTCCCCCTCCTACTTAATTTTCAGTTGCTTATGCATTATATGCTTCATCATTTTGCTTACTTGTAATCTCTTTAATCAAACCCAAGACGTCACAAAATACCCAAAACACATCAAAATCACATGAAGACTCAAAAGATACAAGGAAAAAAAAAGGAAACCAAATTGACGTAAATATTAAAAAAAATAAAATTAACGGGATTATATACCAAGAACTATTTATTAATATTCACGAAATGATCATACATCTTATTTTTACAACTAGATTGTCTCTGTCAACTTTTCAACTAGATTATTATTCTGCTAATTATAAACAGAATGATTTCCCATGTGTTGTTTTCATAAACAGTCTGTTTCTTGGGATTATGTTTTGTTTCTTTAAAAAGTACACTTGAAAACAACAAATGTGATAATCAGCAAAAACAACTTGAAAAAGCAGTAGACACAATCATATAAAACCTTTATGGCCTAAAACAATTTGATCACATTTGTTATAAAAGTTGGCGTTGAAACCAAAACATATTCTCTGCAGCTTTCTCAGTCCTCAGTTCCTCACCCACAAGTCACAGTAACCAGAAGCACACATTTCACATCCTATGAATCCCATCAAACCTGAGCCACTCGGAGTTCGCCACGTGGTGGCCATGCCTTGGCCAGGAAGAGGTCACATCAACCCAATGTTGAACCTCTGCAAACGCCTCGTCCGGCGAGACCCAAACCTCATCGTCACATTCGTCGTCACCGAAGAATGGTTCGGGTTCATCGGGTCCGACCCGAAACCTAACCGGATCCACTTCGCAACTCTCCCAAACCTCATCCCTTCCGAGCTTGTCCGGGCCAACGACTTCATCGGCTTCGTCGACGCCGTCCTAACCAGATTGGAGGAGCCGTTCGAGCAGCTTCTTGACCGTCTCAACTCTCCGCCTCCCACCGTAATCATCGCCGACACTTACATCATTTGGGCAGTGCGGGTCGGCACAAAAAGGAATATTCCGGTGGCTTCTTTCTGGACTACGTCAGCCACGATTCTCTCCCTCTTCATTCACTCCGATCTTCTCGCAAGTCACGGCCATTTTCCGGTCGAACCATCAGGTAGTGTTAATAAAAACCGCAAAGTTCAATCCTTTTACTATAATTCGTGATTCTTTGTTAAGTTCTATGGGCTTCCAACTCAAAACCAATTGGCAATGAGTGGAGTGGCCCATATCCCTTTATATATTACTTAGGATCCCTTCCAACTTCCGATGTGGGACATTATGTCCTAATATTCTTGAATATGGGTTTGTTTCTAGAATCAAAACAAGAAGAAATCGTTGATTACATCCCCGGTTTGTCTCCGACAAGAGTCCGTGACTTGCAGATCTTTCACGGCTATAGTTATCAAGTCTTCAATATATTCAAAAAGTCTTTCGGTGAGCTTTCTAAAGCTGAGTATCTTCTCTTCCCTTCTGCTTATGAGCTTGAACCAAAAGCCATTGACTTTTTCACTTCCAAGTTTGACTTCCCGGTTTACTCCACCGGTCCGTTAATACCCTTTGAAGAACTATCCGTTGGAAATGAGAACAGAGAACTTGATTACATTAGGTGGCTTGATGAGCAACCGGAAAGCTCTGTTCTTTACATATCTCAGGGGAGTTTTCTTTCGGTCTCTGATGCTCAGATGGAGGAGATAGTGGTAGGAGTGAGAGAGAGTGGAGTCCGGTTTCTTTGGGTGGCTCGTGGGGGTGAGTTGAAGCTGAAGGAGGATCTTAAAGGTAGCTTGGGTGTTGTAGTGAGCTGGTGTGATCAGCTTCGTGTGCTTTGTCATGCGGCTGTAGGCGGGTTTTGGACGCATTGCGGGTTTAACTCGACATTGGAAGGGATATATTCGGGAGTACCGATGCTTACATTTCCGGTTTTTTGGGATCAGTTTCTGAATGCGAAGATGATTGTTGAAGAGTGGAGGGTCGGAATGAGGATCGAGAGCAAGAAGAAAACAGAGTTGTTGATAGTGAGTGATGAGATCAAGGGATTGGTAAATAGGTTTATGGATGGAGAGAGTGAAGAAGGGAAAGAGATGAGAAGAAGAACTTGTGATCTCAGTGAGATATGTCGAGGAGCCGTTGCGGAAAGCGGTTCTTCTGATGCTAACATCGACGCTTTCATTAAAGATATTACCAAGATCGTGTGAGTTCTGTGGTTGTTAATGATTAGGGTCTAGCTATTAGTATTCGTGTAAGTTTGTAAAAGATTCAAACTTTGTAACGAGATTTAAGATTGTTTGTACTTTTGTAGAACTCTTCTTTATAAGTTTCATTTGATAGACTCTTTGGTAGAGCTTAATTTTGTGTGTGCCTAATTTTTGTTTGACTTAGAAAATGATTTGTGAGGAGATAGGTATGCTTTCATTTTTGTTTCGGCTGTTGAATATATATGGTCCAACGAGGTCTACTATATATTGTGCAAGAATGCATGCCGAAACATAGAAAATAATGTATAATAACTATAGTAAGATGTGTATTGCTTTTGTGATTTGATTTATGTGTTAGTATAAGATATTACTATAGATTTTTATATATCTTGGATTCTTTGTTCAAAAAAAAAAATATATATATATATATATCTTGGATTCTCTGTTAAGATACTCTTGTAATCTATCTATAACCTAACATTTTGTTTGTTATTGTATTTAGCAACCGAACTCTTTCGACCTAGTGATCCTAAAAGATCTTTTGGTTGTCCACTAGGTTTAAAAACGTTGCCTTCTCACCAAACTAACTCAAAACATTACTAAGCCCTTTGAAACTTCTGTCCTCATTTCGCTTCATGATTGAATAGTTCAAAGAAAAAAAACTAAACATTTGATCATGTCTTTGATGAAAAGCAACACCATATTCACTTCTCTGGTGATTATTGTGGCTCTTTTTGGAGTTTCCCTTGGAAGAGTCCACAACTTCGGCGACTCGATGGGTTTAGATAATCAAGCTTTAGTTCCACCACCGCTTGGATCATCATTCTCCTCCTCTTATCATTCTCGGTCTTTGTTGACTAACACAAAGAATATTGAATATCTCTTATGGTCTCAATGTTGCCTCCTCCTAGTGACTATGAGATGGGTCCATCACCTTCTTACAACGCTGCTTCAGTCTCTCAGCGTGTTTGGATCGGCTTAACTTGCCTTCCTTTAGTTTGCCTTCTAGTCTTGCTTTGATGTCTCCAACGTGCTTTATTGTCTTGTAAGTTTAGATTAATTTGATGCATTAAGTTTATGCGTTTTCGTTTCGTCTTTATATCAGTGTTCGTCTCTACATGACATCGTTAAATTTAACACCCAAATATTTTGCCATTGTGGAGTTTATATAATCTATAATATCTAACAATAAATCTAGTTTAGTTGGTTACCGAGGTTTTCATTGAGATTTTTTCAAGTTTTTATTCGGTTAGTTAGAGAAATACTCCAATTCTGCATCTATACTATTAATTGGGAATCACTAGATATTAAATAACCTTATAAAGGTAAAATATTACATCAGATGCCATTGAGTTTTAGTATTTTTAAATAAATTCATTAAGGGTACTATAGTAATCAAAAAATTAATATATTTAAATAAAAAATAAAAAATAGTAAAATTCTTTTAAATAATTATTAGTTTGCAAAAAAAATTAAACTCATTTTCTCTCTCTTATTAATTATGAACGAAAATATGAAATTAATTTCTAAAAAATTGTTAACCAATGATAATTGAAAAACTAAGATTTGATATCCAACTAAGATTTTATCTAAACCAATCCTAATAGACTATTCTATATCAAAAATAAAAAGAAAAATAATATCATTTTTAATTCAAATTTTTATCAATGGAGAATTTTAAGTTTGAATAATTTTGTAAAAAAAATTAAATACAAATATTTAAGATTCAGTTTTGTTATAATATTTTCACTAATTTTGAAATATAAAACGAAATTTTATTTCAAAATTTCTAAAAAACGATATTAGATACTAACAAATATTTATATAACTATGAAATAAACTCAAATAATGATAAATTTAAAGTAATTATCATTATAGTCTTCGTTTAGAGCAAGTTTCGGAAATATCTAAACAATAGATTGTACATATTAATTTCGAAATATTTTATGTTTTATTATTCCTTTTCAATCGGATCTTCCTTAAATAAATCCATGATATATTACACAGTTTTCGAAATAATGTGAACTAATTATATATTTAGCATTCAAAACAAATTATGCAGCAATAGCATATCCTTTTTAAAGATGTATCTCAAATTTTTATTTTTACTCCAAAACGTCGAATGAATTATGATTTAACAATGAAATGAAAAATATGCAAAATTTACCTAAGGAAAGAAACATTAATAAATTTGTTAAAATATATTTATAACTTTAACAGCGTACATATTAATCTGTAGATATATTGTATTTACACCAAACTAAAACTGAATCCATATCCTATTAACATCTGTAATCAGACTGTTAGAAATGTTTCGATTAGCTTAGAAAATAAAAACGTAACATCATTTAACTTTTGCAACTAAATTCGTTCGGATCTTAAAATATAATTATGCACTTACGCAACTGAATTTCGTTCATTACTCTAACTTTATAATATCTATACTATTACAAAGTTCACTAACACAACAAAATATTTTATATTTTTAAAATCTATATAACAATTTCTATAAAAATATCTATGCACGTACGTGTGATTTTAGATCTAATACACTAAAATATATATCATAAAAACAACAAAATAATTTATAATAAATTAAAATTTGTTATAAATTCTTTTAAAATATGAAACCCCGCACGTACGTGCGGGTCAGGATCTAGTAATATTCTAAAATCTGATCTTACTAGGAATGATCTTCACACATCTCAATATTTTATCAACCAATATTAGTTAACATATTTTGCAGGGAAATTGATGGGTCAATAAATTTAATATGCCACTTGATGTCTAATGCCTTAGGACATTTTTTCACTATGTTTTCGATTTGGTTCTTCGTTTTTTTTATATAATTTTTGGTAGGGATAATTTTTTTTTGCTTGTGTATGTAATCTTACTAATTTTTTAATAAAATTTACGATGAGAAAAAGAATAATATCCATATTCATAGTATAAACATAATCTAATATACATGGTTTGATATGATTTTAGTTTTTTGGTTCGGTTCATATAAGTTCGCTTAAATTAAAGTAGGATTTTTTGTTTTTTTTGGTAAAAACACTAAAGAGGCTAAAACAAAAAAAAGATATTTTTTACTTGGGGAAAAAATGTTAAAGCCCACAAGACAAGACAGAGATTTCTCCCATGCTCTGTCTTTAGTTTAACCGCCGCCTCCTCTCTCTGGTCGGAGAAATCTCCAGATTTGGTATTTCTCCAATCTTCTCGGAACCCTAATTCAACAAACCTCTCCTTCAGATTCATCTTCTCATAATCTCCCTAAAGCTCAAACCTTTCTCTCAATCCTAAACAATGGCAACAGAAGCAACAACTACAACCAAATTCCCAGAATCCGATCTCCGTCCAATCCCACAACCACCGGATTTTCATCCCGCAATCATCGTTCCAGCTCAAAACACCACTCTTAAATTCTGGCAGCTAATGGTCGCCGGTTCAATCGCTGGCTCAGTCGAACACATGGCTATGTTTCCAGTAGATACAGTCAAAACTCATATGCAAGCTCTTCGTTCATGTCCGATTAAACCAATCGGAATCCGTCAAGCTTTCCGTTCAATTATCAAAACCGATGGACCATCAGCTTTATATAGAGGTATTTGGGCTATGGGACTTGGTGCTGGACCAGCTCATGCTGTTTATTTCTCGTTTTATGAAGTTTCTAAGAAGTTTTTATCCGGTGGAAACCCGAATAACTCAGCCGCACACGCGATTTCGGGTGTTTTCGCTACTATATCGAGTGATGCTGTTTTTACTCCAATGGATATGGTTAAGCAGAGGTTGCAAATTGGGAATGGGACTTATAAGGGTGTTTGGGATTGTATTAAGAGGGTAATGCGTGAGGAAGGGTTTGGTGCTTTTTACGCGTCGTATAGAACTACGGTGTTGATGAATGCTCCGTTTACCGCTGTTCATTTCACTACTTATGAGGCGGTTAAGAGAGGATTGAGGGAGATGTTGCCTGAGCATGCTGGTGGAGAAGAGGATGAGGAAGGTTGGTTGATTTATGCTACTGCTGGAGCTGCGGCGGGTGGGTTAGCGGCTGCTGTAACTACTCCGCTTGATGTTGTTAAAACGCAATTGCAGTGTCAGGTGATTGAATTCTCTAAAGCTACTGACTTTAAGTATCTGATAGCCAAATGTGATTATAGATTGGCCAACCTACTTGTAGTGGTTGTCTCTTGATCCTATAGATCACTTGAATGAAGAAAGATATCTTCTTTTCTTCTCTTTGGATAGTTTCAATTTCAAGACTATGATTTTATAGGTAAAATGTAGATTGTATCAAACATTGTTAGAATTGTGGTCATGAAACTTAATATTACTGAATTTACATGTAAAAGTCGCATGCTTTGGTCTTGTGTGGCATAGATATTACTAAATTTAGGGGCTATGTTTCTATATACTGTATGTTGTTTCAGTTATCAGCTGAAATATGTAGAAAAAGACCAGAGAAATGTCAGTTCTAGGTTTAGAATACCTTGGCCGATAGCGATTTCATAGGATTCAGGTTGTTCTGAGAATTTTGTTTCTGGTGATGTTTCAGGGTGTGTGTGGTTGTGACCGATTCAAAAGCGGTTCGATAAGCGATGTGTTCCGTACAATAGTGAAGAAAGACGGTTATAGAGGACTTGCTAGAGGATGGCTACCAAGAATGCTCTTCCATGCTCCAGCAGCTGCGATCTGCTGGTCCACTTATGAAACAGTCAAATCATTCTTTCAAGATCTCAACGGCGCAGCTTGAAAAGACACAAACAAACATGTGTTTGGCTTAATTCGCTTGCCTGATTCAGGTGATTGATTCTTCATAGAGCTAGCTACTGGTTGGTTAGTGTTAACACTAGCTCTTAGAGAGATCTCTGTTTGTATAATTTATTTGTTTTCACGTAATAATGTTGTCAGATTAGAGTTACGACAACCCCAAGGCCTTTTTCTGATTTGCATTGACAGAGAAATTTTGTATTTTTATTTGTTTTTGTGAGAAAATACTATAAAGAGATAGATGAGCTTAAAGAGTGTCCATTCACAAGGTCAAGGATAAAGATTCGATTCTTATTGTTTGATTTATCAATTTCTGTGAACAAGTTTCTTACAAGGACTTGTACAAAAAGAATAAAGAGAAGATCATATAAACTTTATCATGAACAGAATGAGTCATGAGCTAACAACTTTGGCAACGATCACAGTGACATCATCAAGCTTACCTCCTGCAATTTTCAGAACCAGAGATCAACTCAGAAACTAGT